AATTAATCCCACTTTGGTCAATTTGATAGTAATTTAAACAATATATTCCCTAGTTTTCACTTAATGAGGTCACGAATGGAGACTAAAATTTTAAAATTAAATAAACTGTTTTTTACTGACTGTCTTAATTTATATATTTATATAATTTTTGTTTTATAAAATAAAAAAATATATATTAAGTAGGTATCCAAAAATGAAAGTTTTCACTTTCTTAATCAAACCGACCAAAATTATAATTTGCTTTAAGTCCGCTCATTTTATGTTTTTGTAAAAACAGCCAAACAGAAAAAGTTGAGTGATGAATTGAGTACAGCACAAAATAGATCATACGTAAATGTAACGCAAATATAATATAGGTTAGAATAAACTGAAATTAGAGCGCAAACTCCGCTTTGTCTACATTGTCTACATAGTCTACGTTATTTACATAGTCTACGCGAAGTCTACACGTAGACGTCGACAATTAAAGTCGACGCGTAAACGCCCATCCCTGACGACGGGGACAACATTTTTATCATTAAGTCGATGTTTCGCATTATATTAGCTTTGTCCTGTACAAATTTAGTGTCGTGCAACTCTCTCGGTTTCAAAAATACAATACCTATGTACGTTTTCAGCCACGAAATTTGAAAATTCTAAATATTTCAAATTTTCACAACAATGAACGGCGGTGACAACATTTTTAACATTAAGGCGATGTTTCGCATTGTATTAGCTATGTCCTGTACAATCTGAAAATATACTATGTATTTAAGGAAATGAGCACGAACTTATAAATAACCATAATAATATTTCTGCGTGTTAGATCAATCATACCCAAGTATATGAAATTAAAATTCAAAATGGCTGTCAACTTCTCACCTCACATAACCGACTATCAGTATGATAGCGTACATGATATATTTGCACGTAGTTCTGCGTTAATTATATAAGTTGAAATTGCTTGTTTGATGAAAAGAGGAATTACTGTAGAAAAGTATTTTTTAGAAAGTATACGTAAATATCTTGTTTATTAATGTTACCAAAAACCTAATAGAATAATTTTTAGTTTCAGGTGGAAAGAAGTAATGAAACTGCAGTTGCTCATAGGAAGCCGACGTCGTTCCACTAAACTTGGGGTACAATTTCATTACGGTATATAAAACGAATTTGTGAGCTCGTAATATTTAGTTCTAATTATCGTTTTCAGTTTCCCGGTGGCCGTGGAATGGTGCCAACTTAGTAATATTTCAAGTTTATTGCCGAGACAATTTGTAGTTGAGGCATCCATAAATTTGAGGCAATTGTAATGAAAACATCTAACGCGTTAGAGGTATACCTAATATTTCTGGACACACTCCAAAGTTTTATTGCCCAGAAACAACACTAAACAGAAGTTTTAATCATAAGATACCACGGAATACTGCGTTAATGCTAATTTATACGGGCTTCGTGAAACTTTTGGAACTGTGTACACTGTTTAACATTTTCGTTTAAATTTATTCATGGTCGGTTTTAATATGTTGTCATTGCACGGTAATATTTATTTCTTCTAAAGGCTATAGAATTAAATCAAATCGCTATGCTACTATATTTTCATAACATCGTAGAATTGAATGCTCATACAGGGCACCCCCGATGTACAGCAGGAGACCACAGATTCCTGGACTCAAAACAAGCCGATTTAGGCTAATTCATGTACATCTGAAATTACGTCGTTTGCCAATTAGATGGTCTCAATGTTCCTGGAAAATAGATAAATGGATTTGAATTCTTTGAGTAACTTTAATACGCATTAATCATCGACATTGATCCACATCCCCACAAAATAAAAAAGTGGGAGGTCCCAAAGATAAGACCATGATGACTACATGTTTTTAGGGTCGCTGAATCCGAATCCGGGTTCATTTGATTCGATTAGCTCTGGTTGAAGGTCAGTTCAAGGTTAAATGTAGAGAATCAATTGCCAGCAAAGTGAACCTACATATGTATATAAGTCTTTGGGGTCAGTGAATCCGAGTCCGGTGTCCGTTTGACCCAATCAGGTCTGGGTTAAGGTCAGTTCAAGGTCAAATGTAGGGAATCAATTGCCAGCGATGTAAACCAATGTATCTATACGTTTTTGGGGTCGCTGAATCCGAAACCGGTGTCAGTTTGACCCAATCAGATCTGAATTAATGTCAGTTCAAGGTCAAATGAAGGGAATCAATTGCCAACAACGTAAACTATCCAATCGGGTCTGCTAAATCTCTCAAGTTCTAAACTCTAGTTCTACTATCAAATTAAATCTAATTAAGTAAGGCTTAAACCAATGTGTCAGTTAATGCTGCATGTACATTAATTTACGCAGTGAGTCCGTGTCGATTTTCAGGACAGAAGGTTCTTTACCTTGATGAATCATATGAAATCACTAAGTGTATCTCGCTATTATCGAATCGAGACTACTACTATTCACTTTTGTGGAATTGAACTATTTTATTGTCAAAAGATCTTCGAAATGGATTTCTTCTACGATTTCAGTGGTAAATCTCGTTTTAACGACTAGCAGTAATCGACTAACATTGGTTCTATTTTTGAAATCTTTCTGTTTGCTCCTCACTGACTGTAATCATTTAGGTGATTACTGTAAAAATGCAATTTGAGATTCATTAAGCAGCCTAGGTGTTTGTTAAAGGATCACATATTTGTTACTAAAATTAATGAAACGAGAAAGCAGCATGGCTATGTTTTAAGGAACTAATTAAAAATTTTCTAGGAACTTGAGCGTCCAAACTATAAAGAAATAATATCGAATTTGGTAGAAAACTTTAAAAACGTCGGCTTCATTTGAGTGTTTTGAGTTTAGAACTTGAGAGAGAGTTTAGCAGACCTGATCAGGTCAAAAAATGGACTCCCGATTCTGATTCAGCGACCCCAAAAACATATAGACATATTGGTTTACATTGCTGACAAATGATTCCCTATATTTGACCTTGAACTGACCTTAACCCAAATGAAATTGTGTCAAACGGACACCGGATTCGGATTCAGCAACCCCAAAAACATATACACAGATATATGGGTTTACTTTGTTGACCTTGAATTATGCGTATTCTTGGTTCGTAAACTTAAACGGGATTTTGAATTTGTTGCAATTTTTTTTAATACTCTACACACAATTAGAAACTATAATAAAATAAGAGCAAATGTCAATATAAGAATGACATTTCAAGTCTGATTTGATTTCTAAACAGTATTTACGGTTTTTCTTAATTTGACTTCTAAACAGTATTTTCGGGTTTTCTTGAAAACTCCACCTCCTATCGACTTTGGACAAGAGGGCCTTTTCTGGGTAAAATTGAATGCTCTTTCATATTTTTCGAAACCATTTGCAAAATATCAAATCGGCTATACTTTTTTTTATAAAAATATGCATAGAGACCCCTCTATCTCCACCACTGGAACTAATATGCGATGATTTTCTGTGTCAAATTATTTGCCCTCAAATACTAAGCCTTTNGATCTCAAATTTGTCTCTACAGGCATAAAGGCCTTAAAAAATGCAACAAAAAACATATAAAGATTTTTGACGTGCGACATATATTAAGCGAGATACATAGAAGGGACCCTCTTAGAGTAGACAGCCTGTATATATATATGGGTTTACTTTGTTGGTTATTGAATCCTTACATTTAACCTTGAACAGACCTTCAACCAAAGCTAATCGGGTCAAATGGACAGCGGATTCCGATTCGGCGACCCCAAAAACAAGCAGAATAGCAAAAATTTCAATAAACCACAATATTTTTATACATCAAAACTGAGCTAAATATTTCTCATTTCTACACTCCCACATATGAGCAAAATATATTTTTTCCATAATGATAATGTAAATATCAACAATCATGTACAGGGAGATTCACCCCCCCCTCCTCCTTTAACTTTTTTGTTTTAAGAGTTATAAAAAAAATTAGAAATACAAAAGTTGCACGATCTTTTATGATTCTTTCGAAAATGATAGTTGAAAAACAATTTAAGTCCAAACAAAATGGCCGTTGATATTAACTTTGTTAATTTAAATGGAACACCCTGTATACTTTTACATATTTAGACACAACGTTCCCTGTCGAGCATATTCATATCAGGTTTGTCGAGTCCATCTCTAACAATAAGCGGGATTTTTAGTGATAGTCATTAGTAATGACTAATTACAGTCAATAAAATTTTGAAATAAAGTTAATTAAAGTTTAAAATATTACTAAGAATGTATGCGTTGTTTATGAGACATCCATCAATAAGCCTTGACTTTGAGAAAAGTCACTTATTTTATACACCGTAATATTGAAAGAGTTCCATTAAAAACTTTTTTGCTCGAAAACCTTCCACTTTAGGAAGTTCTAACAAGAATACATTATTTTTAGAAAATAAAATTATACATCAGGAATTGGAGCCCGAATGATAAAAAACCTAACCTTAAAAAAATTTAAACTTAATATGTAATAGAAATGTAGCATAACTAGCGCCCTCTATTAAATGTCCAGAAAATAATTAGACCAGCGTAATTGGCGTCCTTAAAAACCCCGGAATAGCAAATTTCATAACAATATTTTTCACCGTTTGGAAATTTTCATCAAAATTCTATTTCAAAAATTTTATGTTGTACCTCTGCATCTCGAAAACAAGAGAAGATGGACATATAGTTAAAAGGACAAAAAATTCTTATTTTTTGTGGTACTATCACCCCCTGTATTTACGGAAGGCCTTTCTGAATTACCCAGTACAAAACAAAATATATTTTACAAAAGTCAAATTAAACTTAAAATTTAATAACGTATATGAAACACATCGTATTGTTAATTGTATGTTTATTTACCGTTAGAAAAACAAAAAAAAATAATGCATAACTTTATTACATAAGAAGACATTATTGCAATATAGAAAGTAAACAAAAATATTTAACATTAGAAAAAAAATATTTATGATATGTGTTACTTGGACCTACCTACCCCGTCGCCCGGGGCAGGTAGGTCCACATATAAAAACTAAAGAACTAAAAGGAAATTATTTGCATAATTCACATATAAACACATCGTCGTCTTCATCTGCTCCCGCACAAGCTTCGTGAGCCCATTGCTCACAGATTTGGCATCGTATCCATCCTTCCCCTGGTCTGCTGTCTTTGAAACAACTGTGACGAAAAATGCATATGCAATCGTCTTCCTCCTCGCTTTCACTGGTGCTACTATCTTTTGGGTCAGCAACTGACAACTGTCTCTTTTGTGGAGTGATGGGTGAAGTGATTGATTGTGGCGGAGTGATGTTCCCCTGATTTGTTGAACTATTATCATTTCCGTGAACAGACGAGGGCAAAAAATCACTTTCTTCGAAAACATCTGGGTTATATGGATATATCCCACTTCTTTCGAACTCTTTGTAGCTTTATCTATTGTAGCCCCTTTCTGAAACGCCTTACCGCTTAAACTCACGACGTCATGGATTGTTATCATCTCTCCTTTATGGTTTATCATATAGTAGTCGCATTCTCGAGCATATTGGTTCTTAAACGGCCCAAAGAAAGTCAAATCCAGGGGTTGGATCCTATGGCTGCAGTGCGGAGGAATAGTAACCATTACTATGTGATTTTCTCTTGCTTTCAAAACACCTTCAAGCTGCTTATGGCTGGTATGCCCATCTAAAATAAGTAGCACTGGCTTTTCCTTACTGGGCTTGGCATGTTTTATAAAATGATCCAGATACTTTAGAAAGTGTTCGCTGTCCATCCAGCCTGACCCATTTGCAAAACCAATAGCTCCTGGGGGCGCATCCCTTAATAAAGATGGTGCTAGTCGCTTTCGTGGAAATAAGTATAATGGAGGAATGTAGTGCCCAGTAACTGAAAATGCACAAGCCATAGTTATATTTGATCTCCTTTCGCCACTGACAATTCTACCAACTTGCTTTTGTCCTCTCTTGGCTAATATTTTTGTAGGTTTCGGTACAGTACTAATTCCAGTCTCGTCGAAGTTGTAAATTCTCTCAGCACTAAAATTATATTGCTCTGAAGCTGCTTTGAGAAGACTAAAAAAAGTTGAGACTTGGTCTTTATTGAAACCTGCAGCCCTGTTCAGACTAGTTGCTTCTGGCTTACGAATAGATAATTGAGGGTTTCTTTTCAAAAATCCTGACAACCAATCCTCGCCGGCAACTATTTTTGTATTATTAAATGGGTGTTTTATTTTAACTCTATCCGCAAGCCCGTAAGCTACACATCTTACGTCTAACGGAGTAAGACCATAAAATTTTGACTGCATTTCTAATAAATGGTCAATAATAATCGCTCATTTTCTCTAGAAAACAGTGGATTATATTTCCCGATCAGAGGTCCAGGCACATTGTCCACATTTTGCTTCAGTCGCCTAATCAAACAGGTTTTTGGGACCTTGAAGTTTCTTGACGCTTCCCTAATACTCATTTCATTACGTATTTCCCGTATTGCGTCGTTTGCACTTTCTTGTGTCCATTGCGGCGTATCCCGCTTTCTTACATAATTTCGCATCTGAAATTAAAAACGTTATGTAGCTACGTATAAAAACTAACAACCCGGGGCAGGGAGGACCACTGACTAGTAGGTGGTCCTGTTGACCCCAATACTAATGGTCCTCACTACCCCAAGTGTAGCCAAAAACCAAAGTTACCGAATAAATTGTTTTAATCGGAATGATGGTTGAACATTTAGGTTAGGTTCGTAGCTATTTTAATGCACCTCATTAATGTAGTAGTCATTTTTCATAATAATCCACAAGCGTCTTTGTAATAAGCACACTCTCAATAAAGGAAATTACATAAACTTACCTTGAAATTTAAAACGCGGGAAATTTAAAACGTTCTCAAATTACTCCGGTGGTCCCCGTTACCCCGGTGGTCCTCGCTGCCCTGGCCTCCCCTACATAAACTGTAGTCAACAGTTTTTGTTCCTATGCTTTTACTTACTATAACATCGTGTTTCAGAGGAATCAGTCAAGGGTTACTTTAACTAAAATTATGTCACGAATAAATTTTTAGACAATGGCATTGATTTGATTTTATGGCTCCTCTTATCATGTACTTATTTCAATTCTTTAGTCACGCATTCTACAAGTTTAAAAGTTATTTTCTCCAAAGTCAAATCGAATCGGTGTTTTATCGAGTCGAACAGAATACAGAACGCTGTAGACACCTAAGCGGCCTAATTATGCACGCCATTAGAAGTTAAACCTGTTGCACAACGGTAAGTCTCATTTCATCAACTCGAGATCTAGATTAATGAGGGCGATATGTAACATTTTCACTTAAGTGGTGATTAGGAATACCAGATCGGCGGGCACAAGTTTAAGACAATATTAATTTACATACATATTGGGGAATTTAACTCTGAAAAGCCTAAGTGGATGTGCGAGTTCTTTATCTTTGTATTGGAATTTGGAAATGGGGCAGTTGAATTGTGCCATAGAGATTTCCTTAAATTGAAAACAAAAAGGGCGCGTAATTCCATTATTCGTTAAAGGGTCCCTTTGTCCATGAGAATGTCCTAGTTAACTCTCCGTAAATACGATTCGCAAACATAAAATGTAGGCCTGGTTAAATATTATTACTTGAAAGAAATTATCTCTATAGGTTTAATTAATTTAAGGCGTCTAACGCACTCGCACCGGAGCTAAAGAGAAACCCTATACTGCGACCCCGCCAATCCCATCATGCGAGTCTACGACCTCCTGGTGATGCTGAAGGTAGAGTCTGACAGGTTTCCTCAACCGGCAGCAAACTGGAATCAGACGCATCCACGCCGTGGCGCCCAACGTGGGACCACCACCGCATATCGGCAACACACCTATTTACGACCGCAGAAGAGGCAGAGATTAGAGAAAATCCGCGACAGGGACGTGAATATGAAGATAGACTACGGTTGGATTTTGAAAGGAAAATGTAAAGTTAAAGGTAAAAATAGAAAAAAATCCACTACATAGATCTTTCAAAGGTAAAAGAGTTCGCTACAAGCGTAAACATTATTGCAAAAAGAAACAATTGCTTACCTCCCTGGTATCAGCGTGAAAAACATTTTTTATGAATTAAGCACGCAATTTCTCGGAAATGGTATATGCTGGTACTAAGCTGACTTTAGACTCTTGTTCAGAGAGTCCGAATGGATGTAGGGTTATAGAATTCAGTATACGAACCAGCTTCTCCCACGAATCATAAATTATATTCGCAAATAACCCATTCTTTGAATGGCATTCTCTCGAAAATGATGAGTGCTGGCGCTGATTTGATATTCGTGTCAGCTGGTCCAGAAGCATAACAATAATATCTGATAAGAGGACCAGACTACTATTTTTTATGCCTGACCAATATCCATTTTAAATCATTCTACAAATGTCTTGGAGCCTGTCGTGTATAATCAAATGTATACAACAAGCAGTTTTTTATTAATTTTCTTAGTAAGGCTTCAACTACAAGTAATCTGGTTGTGTTTAAACAATGCTTATGTGAAACACTAGACAGGATAGAACAAGGCGTCGCGATATACACTACATATGCAGGGGCCTTAATGAATTTCTTCAAATCTTATTTGGACAAAAGAAAACAGTATATAACGAGCGTTCAAATAAAAACGTGGTCGAAGTTGGCTCTGACACATTGGACGTAAGGAGTAGCTTATAGCGACCAACTTAACCTCATTTCTCAACGAGCTGTATAGCAGCTGTCAGTTTCAATAACGTTAATGACTATATAACTTTATTTTAAAGAATAATCGTGATAACAATAACAAACAATTAAAGGAGCTGCGGAAAGTGTCCCCCTCCTTGTTATAACAATAAATTAAAGCAGCTGCTGAAAGTGTCCCCCTCCTTGTTCCAAGCACTTTTCACACCTGTTCCTCAAAGAATTAAAGACATTTTCTAAGATGCTCGGGGTATTGTTAATTTCACGAATCTTGTCTATAAGTCGAGCCTGCAGATGGTTTAAATCAGGAATAGGCAGTTCAAAAATAGTGTTTTTAAGGTAAGGCCACAAAAAGAAATCACACGGCGTAATATCACATGACCTCGGTGGAAATTCATGTTCAGCATTGAGACTTATTAGTCGATTTTGGAAAACTTCCCTCAACATATTCATCGTCTCGCCTGCCGTATGTGCCCTTGCGCCATCTTGTTGAAAGTAAAAGTTTGTAATTTCGTTTTCTTCCAGCTGGTTAACAAAAGGAGCGATAATTTCTTCTCTATACCTTTGCGCAGTAAGAGTACCATTAAAAAAAATAGGTCCATAAATCCTCCTTCGATTGAGAGCACACCAAACTCCAATTTTTTGAGCGTGTAGAGGGCCCTCGACAAAAAAGTTATCTGGTTTTTCAGAAGACCACATTCTCATATTCTGTGAGTTTACGTAACCACTTAAATGAAACCAGGCTTCATCAGAAAAAAAGGTGATATTATGAAGTTCACCGTAGTTGTTTAAAAACCATTCACAAAATACAGCCCGTCGCGGAAAATCAACTTCATGAAGTTCTTGCTGACAAGTTAAACGATAGGAGAACAAACGCAAATCTTTTTTTAACACTGTGTGGCAGGTACCGACTGATACTCCCACCATTTGTGATAAAACACGTACAGAAGTTCTTGGCGCATTTTCCATTATTTGTTGGACATTTTCTTTTAATTCTTCAGTCCGCTTTTTAGGTCGGCCGCTTCCTTCTTTTCTTGTTACACTGCCCGTTTCACGAAAAACATTAACACAACGCTGAACTGCACTTTGAAAAATTTTGTACTCAACAACGCCGGGAAATTGATTTTGAAATTCTATGAAACATTCCTCAATAGAATACTTCCATATTCCATCAATCTTGCGTCCATTTCTAAAGTAGGACTCTATGATAAACACTTTTTGTTCTTGAGAAAACACCATTTTAAACGCTTTTTAAAACGAAAATATTCAAATTGATAGCGGCGATATAGCGCTTTGACAGATGACGTTTAAGTTCATTTGCTATACGCTACGCCCTACGTCCAAATTTTCAGAACTAACTTGACCACGTTTTTATTTGAACGCTCGTTAGTTTATAATGGGTATAAATCGATTGAGTATGTCGCTACATCAGGAGTTCCTGAAGGTTCCATTCTTGGACCTTTACTATTCATTATATTCATTAACGATTTAGCTAACAACTTAGATGTAAATTTTCTTCTTTATGCCGATGATGTGAAAATATACAGCTCAGTTCGCAATATTAATGACTGTATTCAGCTTCAATGAAACCTTCTTAATATAAAATCTTGGTGTAATAATAACAAACTAATGTTAAATACGGAAAAATGTAATGTCATGTCTTTCTCCAACAAGTTCAATCGCATTATGTTTAATAAGAAAATTGTTAATGACGTTTTGTCAAAACCGAAAACATTTCGAGACCTGGGCGTTGTATTTGAAAAACTATCATTTAATAATCATATTGATACTATTGTCTCTGAAGCTAATAGAGCAAATGGATTTATAGTTCGCAACTGTCGTAATTTTTCAAGCTTAGATGTCACAAAGCTTCTTTACTGTTGCGTTGGATCGAAACTTGAATCCCGTGTGATCTCCGCACAGTGGTATCCACATTAATAAACTGGAATCGATTCAGCGTCGATTTTTAAAATTTTTAAATTTAAAATCTGATGGCTACTATCCTCATAGCGGATATCCGCATGAGGACCTTTTAAGTGGACATTCCTTTATTAGCCTTGAAACTGGACGGAAACACTTTTCGCAGATCTTTCTTTTTAAAATAATACGTAATTTAGCTGACTGCCAGGAATTTATAACCAAATTATCATTTTCTATACCTAGACTTAGTTCTAGAGAAAACGGAACATTTTATTTACCAACTCCTCGTACTAATGTACTCAAATGTGTATTATTTAGTGTATGGATTTTATTTATTTCCTTTTTTTATGATGATCGGTATTTTTTTTGTTCCTTTTAATTTTGTTTGTAATTAATGTACTTTTATTATTGTCTGTAAAATCCCTGTTTTATAATTGGGTAGTACCTGTTAAGTGTATTAAATAAAATAAAGTAAAATAAAAAAATATATGCCCTCTAGAAAGTAAAATGTTAGTCAAAAAATTGTCTTGTTTAAATTTTAACAATTTATGTATTTTAAGTATATTCGAGTTAAAAAGTTAATCTCGTCAACCTATTTATTACAGAAATATGTATTGTGAAATACACAAAATTTCAGAATGAATTTGAGAGCTAAACATCTACACAGATTAAGGAAAAGTTAAAATTAAAA